AGACAGACAGACAGACACACTTGCATCCATCATCCATCATCCTTCCATCCATCCATCCATCCATCCTTCCATCCATACATACATACACCCAATAAGACATGAAAGAATACATACATACATCTATTTATATATATATATATATATATATATATATATATATATATACAGCGGGGGACCAGGTCGGGGGGGCCCGGGCCGACCCCCCGACCGCAAATGTGAGGGATTGGGCCTCGGGGCGGCTTTTCGAGCGCCCAAGTCGCTCCAAGACGGGCGAAGAAGGCCCTAGGAGGCTCCCAAGATGGCCCAAGACGGCCCCCAATCTCCGAACGATCGCTCCAAGACGCCCAAAATTGCTTCAAGACGGCCATCGAGGCCGCCCAAGACGGCCCAAGAGGTTTGCAAAAGCACCCCCAAGAGGGCACCAAGAGGCCCAACTCGCCAAATCCTTTCGGGAAAACGCACATTTCAAGCACACGCAGTTTTTCAGCCCTCACGGGCAGCCCAAGAGGCCCCCAAGGGGCCCCAAGATGGCCCAGGAGAACTCCTGGAGAGCACCTAAGACAGCCCAAGAGGCGCCCAAGACAGCCCAAGAGAGCCCCAAGACGGCTACTAAAGGGGCCCAAGAGGGGAACCCGAACCGACAATTCAAGCCTTCCGCCCCAAGATGCCCCCAGTAGGCCCTCAAAGCGTCCCACGAGGCCCCGAAGAGACCCCCAAGGCGCCCCAACAGGCTTCAAAACTGCCCCCTCTTTCCCTTCTTGTTGCCCCCTTCCTCCTCCTCCTCCTCCTCCTCCTCCTCCTCCTCCTCTCCTCCTCCTCCTCCTCCTCCTTTTGCCCCCCCCCCCCCCACCCGACGCAGTTTCGTTTATCGTGGGGCGCCCCCAGTCTCATCCTGCTTCTCCTCCCACTCTCTCGTCCTCTCCTCTCCATCCACACGAGGAAGGTGGGAGCGGGAGTGGGGAGGCGCGAGGAGAAGAGGAGGAACAGGAGGAGGAGCGCCGCTGCTGCGTGCCTCCTGCCGCCTGAGCCTGCCAGCGAACAAAAGGCTCGGACCTACGGTGCAAAGGCTTGGCCTCCTCGGGCCATGCGTCGCCGAACTCGGGCAAGACTGCAGGAGGAGCAGTGGGAGGAGGAAAGTCAGGAGGAAAAGAAACACACAGACACAAATAATTTTCGATTTCCCAGAAAATATAGGAAGATATGGGAAGTGGGGGGAAGGCAAAAACTCAGAAAATATGGGAAAACATTGGGAATTATTTTATTTGTGTGTATTTATTTGTGTGTCCTTGGGCCCCTTCAGAAAGGGAGGGAGGCTGGAGGGACAAGTGCCCCCGCCCCCCCTCCCAGACGGGCACCCAGAGAGCACTTCTGTCTGACAGCGGGGGGCGGACGGGGACCGAGAGCTGGCAACAGCGCTCTGACAGTATGAAGGCTCTGAGGCGCTCTAGGTTTTGGAGTCAGCCCTGCCTGCTCGCAGGTGCCAAAGCACCTCTGACGTGCACGGCATTTTTTGTTCTCTCTCTCTCTCTCTCTCTTTCTCGCTTTCTCTTTCCCTGCCTGCTCACGCCCCCGGATTCCCTCGCGAGTGAAGGTTTGGGCCGCAGGTCCACATTCGCTACTACATCGGCTCATGTTCACTGTTTCCCTTCCCACTCTCTCTCCATCCACGTTCTCCCTCCCCCTCCATCCTCCTCCCCCCAACCCTTCTCCTTCCATCCTCCTCCCCCCAATCCTTCTCAATCCTTCCCCTCCTTCCCCTCCATCCTTCTCCCTCCCCCTCCCCCCAATCCTTCTCCTCTCCCCCCTGGGCTCCCCTCCTCCGTTGTCCCCGCTCCCCCGCATCCCTCACCCGGTAATCGCGCTCGCGCGTCCTCGGCGCCTCCCCTTTGTGTCCAAGGAGCCCCAGCGCCAGGAAGACAGGGCTCCTCTCCCCCCTCCCCCATTCTCCTCCTCTCCTCTCCTCCTCCTCCTCCCTCCTCTCCTCCCTCCTCCCTCCCTCCCTCCTTCACTCCCTCCCTCCTCCCTCCCTCCTCCTCCTCCTCCTCCTCCTCCTCCTCCTCCTCCTCCTCCTCCTCCTCCTCGCCCCCGCCCCCCCGCAGTGCAACATCGCCGACGTGCAGCCTCGAACCACATATTCAGCGGAAACCCATGCCAAGGCACACCCTGCTTGCCTCCACGGGGTGCCCTGGGTTTCGTGGGTTGCGATGATTCTGCAATGGAAGCCGTGCCGTCCCCGCACCACAACTCAAGGGACGACCCGGGGTCTCAGGGTTTGGGTTTCTCGTGGAAGGTTTCGTGTGGTCGAGCTCCTACAGTCGAGATTGATTAGTAGGTCGGCCCTGCCAAAGCGAGGGCACCCTCGTGTCCTGAGCTTCGCGACCCATGCCTTCTTACACTCCCATGGCAATGCGGCCCTCGGCGGGGTCTCGTGCCCTCTCGCGTGCCCTCCCCAACCAACCCCGGCTGCACTGCGGCGCCTCTGCTCTTCCCTCCCCACGTTGCACCCTCCTACCGATCCGATCGGTAGGAGGGTGCAACCCTCCTACCGATCGGGGACGCCTGCGATCCCATTCGGTGCGGCTGGCCTCGCCCGGCGGGGCCGCGCTCCCGATCCGAACCCGGCTCTGCTCGGCCCACCGGCAGCGGCCGCGGCCCGCGGGAGCCCCGGGCGCGGCGAGCCGGCCCGGAGCCGACTCGTTGGCGAGCCGATGCGGCTTCGGTGTCGACCCGCCGTGGCGCCTCGATCCGACTCCGTTTGCGATCCGATCCGGTTTCGCGACTCGATTCCGAGGCCCGAAAACCATCACTTCACTAATTTTGGGCCCCAGGGCCCACTGAGGCCCCAGGGGCCCCCAGATTAGTGAAGTGATGTTTTTTCCCACGTAAGGACCCCGAAATTCATCATTTCACTAAACCGGACCCAGGACGAAAGTCAGGGGCCGAATTGCTGCTGTGATGCCACATCGGCCTCGTATCGATGCAGCGCAGATCTGCCGATCCGGGGGAAGGAGTTCGCCATCATGTTCCGGCACCTGATCCCCTGCGGCGTCTGCACGTACAAGTCCGCCTGCATGGGGGCGACGAACGGCACTGCCAGGACTGCCCGGGCCCGGACGGCAGCAGGGTCTTGGCCGGTCCTGGGAGGTCTTGGAGTGTCCAGCCGAGGCCTTCCAGAGAGGGACCCGCCTTCGAGGACCGAAAGAATTGACATCCCTCCTCGGCGGAAGGTGGCGGGAGGCCCGCGGGGGGCGGCGGAAGTGAAACGACGGCGGAGCCGCCGCGGGAAGGCGGCGGAGATTTTGTCCTCCCGGTGCAGCTGCTTGTCCGGAGGTGCCCTCGGATCGGCGCGGGGCCCCCTGAGGCGGCGCTCCGCGCGCCAGGGAGAGGGGTCCTGGCGCTCTGCACTCCTCCTCCTCCTCCCCCTCCTCCTCCTCCTGCTCTTCCTCCTCCTCCTCCTCCTCCTCCTCTTCCTCCTCCTCCTCTTCCTCCTCCTCCTCTCCGTAGCCATTTTGGCTCAAGATGCCAGGTTCCCTTGGGGCCAAAACGGATACCGCTAATCCGCGGCTAGACAACGCTTTTCCGCGCCTTCACCGCAGGAGTTGGGCACCTGCACCTCCAGTCTCTCCCGCTGTGCGCTTGCCATGGTCCCGCCCTGGCGCTCCGAAGATGTTTGGACCCGTGTCGGCGGCGGCAAGAAAGGGAAGAAGTTCCAGCCGTACACGTACTGCTCGTGCGGGCATTGGACGTACGATCGTCTGCTTGCTCGCCGCGGCTTTTGCGTGGGGTGCGGCACGGCCATGCAACCTTCTGGTGGTGGGAAGGGCGGCGCAGGCGGGGCCAACGGCGCTCCCAGCGGCAGCGGCGGCGGCGCGCCTGGTGTGGATCCCGCGGCAGTGGCAGCAGCCAGGAAGGCAGCCGCTCTTTTGCCTCCCGCCGCCGCAGCCGAGTTGCTCGCGACCTTCAAGCTCAAGCCTGAGCCTCCCCCACCGGTGCCCCTCGGCGAGGCCGAGATCAGCTCTGCCGAGGCCAAGAAGCGTGCTGCTACCCGCGCGGTCCAGCAGGCCATCGACGCCCGCCTCCGCCTCGAGGAGCAGATCGCAGCTGCCGACAAGAAGGTCGACGAGGCCATCAAGAAGGAGGAGGAGGCCCAGCAGGCCGTTGAGCTCGCGGCCCGCAACCTCGCTGCGCGGGTCCTCCCAGCACCTGAGGCGGCGCCTTCTTCGGCTTCGGTGCTGCACATCGGCGCGCTGCTGGAGAACCCAGATTCGGTGCGGCTGGACTTCGGGGAATCCATCGACGTCATGGGCCCAGCTTTCTCGGACGCGGACCGCGAGAAGTTCAGCAACTTCGCCGAACAGCAGCGCCTTGCCGCCACTGAGCTCCTCCGCCAGGCTTTCGCTGGGGTCGCAGAGCAGGCCAAGAAGCTCCAGTCCGAGTACGTCTCCTACGCCAAGCAGGTCCAGAAGAAGCGCAAGGCGGAGGACGGCCAGGGCGTGGCAGTCCAGCAGCCGTCGGGCCCTTCTGCAGCGGCGGCCAGCCCCCCTGCAGGCGCGGCGGCGGCGGCCAGCCAGGAGCCTCCTGGCCAAGCGGCGCCTGCCGACTCGCCCACCCCCGCTGAGGCCGCCGAGCTGGAGGCCGAGCGGCGTCGGGAGGCAGTCCGCGCCGCCAGCGCTGCCCGCACAGCTGCCAAGCAGGAGGCGGCGGCGGGGGCCCCCCCGCGGGGGTAGCCAGGGCTCCGACGCCGAGGGCCGCTCCCTGAGGCTGGTGTACGGGAACATCTCGTGCTGGGGACCTCAGGCGGAGCGCTGGCTGGCGGAGACGCCCGCCGATGTGGTGGTCTTGGTCGAGACCAGGGTGCGGGGTGTTAAGTACACCCAGATGTGCGCGGCCGCGCGGCGGCTGGGCTGGAAGGCGGTTGGCGGTGAAGCCGACGCCACGGAAGCCTCCTCCACGTCGGCGGGGGTGGTGATCTTCGCCCGTGCCCGACTTGGGCTCGCCTCGCTGTGCCTCGAGGCGAACGGAGGTTGGACTTCGAGTGCCTGCTCGCGCTGGTGTGTGGCTACCCTCAGGCTGCGCCACGTCACGCTCACCATCGTCCCGATCTACACGGTCTCGGGCGAGGAGCTGGGCGGCCGCAACCTCAAGTTGCTTTCTCAAGTGGGTGCTCGGCTCGGCCAGCTGGCGGGCCCTCTCTTCATCGTCGGGGACTGGCAATCTTTGTCCAGCGAGTTGGCGACGACTGGCTTCATGGCGGCGCTTGGCCTGGTCGAGGTGCAGGCGGGCTTGCAGGTCACGTGCACTGGTGGTAGGGGCGCGGGGCGTGCCATCGACTACGCCTTGGTCTCGTCCTCTTTCGCGTCGGCTGTGCAGTTCGCAGGGGTCGACGCCTCGGCCCCGTGGGGCACTCACCTCGCGCTCTCCTACAACATCCTGGCCAACCCGCGGTCGCTCATGGGCTGGTGCGTGGTCATGCCGAAGGCGCTGGACATCGTTGGCGCCTCCAACGCGGGCTACGACCTGGACTGGGACGTCGCCCTCTCTGAGGCTCGAGCCTTTCGCCAGCGTTTCTCTGCCCGTTTTACTTCTAATTTTGAGGCGGCTAGCCTCGCCATTGCCGATCACGATGTGCCGCAGACTGCCCTCTTGCTCGGTAGCCAGCTTGGGGAGTGGGCCTTAGCTCTGGAGTTCGTGCACTGTGCCAAAAAAGGAATCCCTCGTTCGCAGTGGCCTCTGTTTGTAGGTCGGTGCCAGCAGCCTCGCCTCAAGTACGCCCCTATTGTGCCGCGTGCTAGCGAGGGCCCTCCTCTTGCTGACCGCCATGCCCGTTTTTGGCAGGCCCTCGCTGTGCAGGCCTCCTTGCTGCTGCGCCTGGCTGATCCTGAGGCGGACCCTTCCGAGCCGCCCACGCCGCGCGCCCGCTGTGGCGAGCAGTTTTGGAGCACGATGCGCGGGCTGGAGGCCCTGCAGCTGCCCCCGCCTATCGATCCGAACGACGCGGCGGAGGAAGCGATCCTTGAGCGTTGGATCTCTTGGCTCCGTCAGCTTCGCTCGCTGTCGCTCGACAGCCTTCAGCAAATCGCGGAGGAGGCTAAGGAGCAGGGAGTCCAGGCTGCCCAGCGCGCGGCTGCGGCGGCCCGAGCGCGCTGGCGCTCCTGGCTGTCCGACGCCTTGGCGGGCTCTGCTAGCAAGGCCCATAGGCTCCTCCGCGATTCGCCCTTGCCCTGTCGCGCTGAGCCTGTCTGGGAAGGAGAGCCTGCCTCCACGCCTTCTGCAGTTTCGGAGGCGGAAGGGGCCTCGTGGCATGCCATCTGGTGCAAGCATTCGCGGCCCGAGGCGTTGGAGGCCCTTGCGAGGATCCGCTGTGCTGCTCTGTCGTCAGCCTGCCTCGAGCCTGTTTCTCCTGGCCAGGTGAGGGAGGCGTTAAAGACCGTTCCTGATCGTCGGGGGAGGGGGATTGACATGATGCCGCCTCGCCTGGTCAAGGATGCGCCGCCTGCCGCCATCGCCGCGCTCGCGGCCCTTTTGACGGCCATCGAGCGCGAGGCCACGGTGCCCTTTCAAGAGCTGTTCAACCTCATCGCCTTGCTGGACAAGGAGGATGGAGGCCTGAGGCCCATCGCCTTGCTCAATTTCAGCTACGTGTTGCTATGCCGCATTAGGAAGCCAGTGATAGGCGCCTGGGACCGTGACCAGCACGGGGCCTGGGACAGGACCGTAGGCGGCTCGGCCGAACTCGCGGGGTGGATGGACGAGTTGGAGGGGGAGCTTGCGCTCTTGGGAGGCTTCGAGGTCGCGGGCGGTTTGCTCGACCTTCGAAAGTTTTACGACCTGGTGTCCCTGCCTGATTTGGCGGCGGCGGCCCAGGATTTAGGCTACCCTCTTCGCCTCCTCGCTCTCGCCCTTGACGTTTACCTCGGTCCTCGTCTCCTCACCCTCCAGCGCCAGGTGCACACTGGTATCTTGCCTGGCGGAGGCATCCTCGCTGGCTGCGGCCAAGCTGTTTCGCAGGCGCGCGCCTACTTGCACGCCCCGCTGAAGGCGGCTCACTCCTCGGTGCCAGGTCTGCGCCTGAGGGAATGGGTCGACGATCTCGCCTTCCGCCTCTTCGGCACCGAGCACACGCTCAGCTTGGCCTTTCCAGTGGTGCTGCGCGCCCTCTTTACGGGCTTGCGCAGGCTCCGCTGCGAGTTTTCCCTGGGGAAGTGCGGCCTCATGGCTTCTTCCGCTGCCATTCGCGCCTTGCTGCCTGCGTGGGCGTCGGCGGCCGAGGTCGGGGCTGGGGGCCTCAGTACTGTTCGTGTTGCCCGCGACCTCGGCCACGACACAACTTTCGGTGCCTCGCGCTCCGTTAAGGTGCGCAAGAAGCGTTTCATGAAAGGCAGGCGAGCCGCTCTCAAGATTTCGGGACTGGTCAGGTCCGCGCCGCGTGCCTCTCGCCTGTTCGTCTCCAACGCCCTGCCGAAGTCGGTGTGGGCGCCTGAGGTGCACGGGCTGGCGCCGACCATGCTGAAGCAGCTCCGTGGTCAGGCTCGGCTTGCCAGCAAGTGTCCTCAGCGCGGCACGTGCGCTACTGTGGCCATTCGCATCAGTTTTGGGGCGCGGCGCGACCCGCCCATCTGGTACCTGCGGCACATCGTAGGTGCGTTCTACTCTCGCGTCCTTGGAGAGGACGGCCTCGCTGCGAAGGTCCAGCGCGGATGGGACGCGTCCCTCGAGCGTGTGGCGCGCGGCTGGAACCTCGTGCGCGGCCCGCTTGCGGCTTTTCAGGCCTCTGTCCTGTCGGCTGGCTGGCAGTGCCCGTCCTTGTCCAAGATGGTTGAGCCAGACGGGCAGGAGTGGGAGCTTTACGCCACCACCGTCGCCCCCGTCACCAGCCTCCTCGCGGCCCTGGAGCAGACTGCTGAGAACGCGGTTTGGCGCCAGGCGGCCAAGCATCTTGACGGGGGAGGGGCGGAGGAGGGTGTCTGGTGGCAGCATGTGCCTGCCCTGGCTGAGCGGCTGGAGAAGGAGTCCCAGCACAGTCTCGCCAGCCTTGTCCGCCTAGTTGCCTGTGGTGGCTACTGGACGGAGGAGCGCCGTTTCCAGGCTGGCTATCGCACGGACGACTTGTGCCAGCGCTGCCACCGCTCCCGTGAATCTAGCCGCCACCGTTTCTGGGAATGCATGTGCAACTCCATGGAGAGGGACTGGGCGCTCTCGGTAGGTGTGCCTCCCCCTCCTGAGGCCGTGGTCTCCTCCAACCACCTCCGCAGTCAGGCGTCGGAGGAGATCGACCGCTTCCCTGTTTTCTGGTGCCGTGGGCTAGTGCCCCTCGCCTGGCTGAACCTCCCGCCGCCCCCCGACGAGCGCGGCCATCGCTGGCTGCGCTGCGGTGTAGGGGCGCTGCCAGGGGGGATTTACGCTACCGACGGCGCAGGTGGAGCCTGGTCGTCTCAGCCCTTGCTACGCCGTGTGGCGTGGAGCTTCGCTCGCCTAGCCGACGGCCAAGGTCTGGACTGGGATTCAGGCTGCACGGGCTTGGTGGACGGTCCTGTGCAAACGGTGCCTCGCGCCGAGCTCCTGGCCATTGTTGAGTGCGTCAGGGCCGTCCACCCTGCTGCCGATTTCAAGCTTTACTCCGACCACGTGAATCACGTGAAGGCGATAGCGCGCGGACGCCGCCACTGCTATAAGCTCGAGCATGCGGACCTCTGGCACGATCTTTTCTCGCTGCTGGACGCCCGCGAGGGCCGCTTCTCGCTCCTGCATGTGCCCTCGCATCTTGCCGAGGACCCCGCTAAGTTTGCGCGCCTCGGCCATTCTGTGCTGCCCGAGGCTATTCTTCTCAACGCGGTGGCCGATGGGCTCGCCGATGAGCGGGCTGAGGAGGCCCAGCTTGATCCAGATGTTGCCCGCCGCGCCTTGGACCTTGTGGAGCAGGCCGAGGCCATCCTGCTCCGCAATGCCTCGCTCTGTGCTGCTGCCGCCTCCGCCCCCAAGAGCCCTGGCCGTGTGGTTGCGAAACCCAAGGTTTCTAGGGCTCAGAGGAGGGAGGAGATGCTTTCGGGCTTCGCGGCCCGTTCCCAGCACGTCTTTGCCTCGACCGCTTTCGGCTGGCGCTGTAAGCGTTGTGGCCGATCGGTCAGGCGCTCCCAGAGCCGCGCCCTCCACCTGCTGCGCTCCTCTTGCTCGGCCTCACGGCCGCCGCCTAGCCCGTCTCCCTGCTGCGTGGAGCAGCAGCAGCGAGGCCATCAGAGGGAAGGGGACGGGGCGGACGAGGACGGGGGGGGGGACGGTGAGGAGCCTCTCGAGCCTGCGGACGAGCCCGCGGCGGACCCAGCTCCCGCGCCTCGGGTCTGCGTCAGGCTGCCGCGCTCGTACTCGGGGCTGCCGCCCATTGACGAGCAGCTTTTCCGCTCCTTGGGGATGCCCGATCCCCCCTTTCGCTTGCCGCCCGGCACGGGCATTGCTGGGCATGTGCCGCATGGCTCTCACCTGCTGTGGCGCAAGGGAGCCCTCACGTTTTGCAGCCTCTGTGGGCGCTACGCCGACTCCAGGCCCTCGCGACTTCTGGAGGAGTGCGAGGCCACGAGGCACGGTCCTCTCGCGCTGACTAAGGCGCAGCTTACTGCCCTGCTGCGCCTGCGTAAGGGCCTCCCTCCTAGGCCTGGGGTCCGCGAGTGGCCCACGGCGGGCGTTTAGCTCGCTCGCTTTTTCAATTGCCAGCCTGTCGCCCGGCCTTTTTGCTCTCGCGAATTGGGTGTGCGCCTGGCTGCCGTGCATTGCAAAAATTCCTCCTCCTCCTCCTCCTCCGCCTCCTCCTCCTCCTCCTCCTCCTCCTCCTCCTCCTCCTCCCCCTCCTCCAATCCTCCTCCTCCAATCCTCTTTTTTTCGTCGTATGTGACATCCCGTGTGTGGGCTCGATGGTCAGATGTTAGTTCATTTGAGGAAAGCTGTCCCGACCGCCGTTCTCACCGAGGATCCAGCCCGCGCGTGTCGCAGGCAAGATGTGCGCGTCGCACGAGGATGGGTTATCAAGCACATGTGCATATCGCACGTGGATGCGATCAGGCCAAGGAGATCAGACACAGGGTGAGACCAGTCAACGGATGAGATCAAGCAACTGAGATCGGCTGTTGGGTGAGATCAGGCAGAGGAGGTTGTTTCAGACTCTTTGCCTGCCCCTAGTGTTGCTGATGTTCCCCGCCATATTGATGGCCATTCTTCTCCTGCTCCTGACCCCGATGACGTTCCCATTTCTGTGACTGCATCTGCCCCGCTGCTTATGATTGTGCTTATCTTCTCCGTCGCGTTCGCCGCCTGATCTGATTGAGTATGTTTTGCGCTTGCGCCCTTCTTTGGCACCAGCGGGTCCAGGGACGGCGATGTGTGTCCGAAGTGGGACTTCAAGCTGGTGGCGGACAGCTGCAAGTGGGGGCGTGGGGATGATGAATGGTTGGCAGGTAGATGCGGTAGTGGATGGTTGGGCGGATGGAGGAACATGTTGATAATGGGCTACGTAGCTGACACAGATGTCCGTAGATGGGGACAGATGGTCGGACTGACGGATGATGGATGTCACTGATGGGATGGTTCATGGATCCGCGTAGGAAACAAGAGGTGCAGACTTGTTTCTTTTTTTCCGTCGCGGCGCGGCAGAGGCGATCCGCTCGCGCGTCCAAGCAACCCGGGCTACGGCATTCAAAATCTCAAAGACGCAGGAGACAGAGGGATACAGGAAGGTACTGTGATCTGGGCTTGGTCGGGTATGTACGGGAAGAGAGGGGAGGGCATGGGTAACGGAGAGGAACGTAGATGATAGAGGGGAGGGAAAGGGGAGTGTACAGGGAAGCGGGGAAGAGCAGACCAGAAAGGAAAGTGAGAGGGGGGGATGGGAGGGGGATGGAGAGAGGGGGGAGGCGTGCCCAGGAGGATGAATTGGTGAGACTGTTTGGGTACCCGGAGCCAGTACCTAAGGCCAGGGGTTTCTCTTCTGAGTTATTTCTCACCAGCTATAGCGCTCGACATTACTCCAGACCTTTCTCGCTTTGGCACGAACGTCGGCTTGACGCCCTTCTTGCGCCGTGGTCCCTTCCGTGGCCCCTCGCTTCCAGCCTGCTCTCGCCCCTCTTCCCTTTCCCCCTCCCCACTCGTCCGCGCTGCAGCCGCCACGAAGATTGAGCTTCATGTTTTGGCGGCCTTGCGGCATGGAGGGCCCACAGTGTCGACCATTCTTGACAAAAACCATGGCGGAAATACGAACTATTTTGAAAGTGATCGAATTCTTGATAACATGGGCACGATGGTGGGACAAAAATGGATATTTCGCTTGGACAAAGACGATGCCCACAAAAACAAACGGATTTTGACTCCCGTGTGGGCATCTTCCCAGGGCCGACGGTGCGACCGAGACCGCGACGCTGCGAAACAACATCACGACCAGAGCCCCAGACCCCGCCTCTGCCAGCGGCCGTCCTCTCAAGCCGCATCGGTCCGCGAGGGCTCCTGGAGGCTCCCAGGCGGCCCCGAGAGTGCCCCAGGAGGCTCGCAGGAGGCCTTCTCCTCCTCCCCCCCCTGCTTCCTCCCGCTCCTCCTCTTTTGCACTTCCTCCCCCGCGTGACCCCCGGAGAGCTTCCACAAAACAGCTGGGGGAACCCGGGGCCCGAGGCGGTGCGAGCGCGCCCGCCTCGACGGGAGTGCGACGCCCCGGCTCCCCTCGGGGCCCTTTGCGCGCGCGCGCGCGCCCCGTGCGGGGGGAGGTCCACCACGAACGACATGGACTGGGGCAGCATGTGGGCGGGCGTGCCCCCGGCCGTCCTCGCGCTGGGCACCCTGGCCGGGGTCCTCTACAGGCCGCGCGGGGGCCCGGGAGCGGCCGGCGAGACTCGTCGCAGAGCCGAGGGGAGAGAGGAGGGAAGAGGGTCAGGAGAGGGAGCCAGCTCGGATTCGCGAGGGTGAAGCGGAGTTCGACTCTCGCCTCCCCCTTCCTCGCTTCACTCACCACCCGCCAGACCACCACCCCAACCCAACCCGAAGGCCTTCGTTTGCCCTCCGTTTCCAGTGTGGGGGGGGGTCGGGGAACATGGAGAGGACACACATGGAACCCGACCCCCCCCCAGCCCGAAAGTCGGGTCTTCGGGTTGGGTTTGGGGTGGTCTGGCAGGTAGTCATTCGCCGTGCGCGCGCGTGCGCCCTCCAGCATGTCCGTTGCATCTGAGGGTCGAGAGTGAGGTCACTTGCCCCGCCCCCCTCCCACAATCGGCGTTTACTCAGAGCCCCGAATCATCAGGGGTAGCTCGGGTCAGGGCTAACTCGGGTTCGTTTTTCGGGATTCCGAACCCGAGTTACCCCGGGCCCGAGTTACCCCAGATAACTCGGGCGTCCAGAGCCCCAAATCATCAGGGGTAACTCGGGTCAGGGCTAACTCGGTTCGTTTTTCGGAAATCCAAACCCGCGTTACCCCGGACTCGAGTTACCCCGGATAATTCGGGCGCCCAATTTACTAAGCAGCCCTGCCCTGTTCGATCCCTTCCCTCGGTGCGCTTACCACAGGCCTCGCTCGCCGGGGTGCCCATCATGAGGGTGTTTGTTTCTGCCCTCTACTGTCACAGTTTCCGAAAAAAGTGGCTCTTGAAGACGGAAGCGGTATGAAACGGCAACCAGAAAGGCCAACGACAACGGATAATGATGTGGAGCTGGAACCGGACACGGCGACAAGAACAGCGACGGAACCGGAAAACAGCATCGGCACAGGGATTGGCAAAAAGAAGAGACGGCAAAACAGAACCAGTCGGGGGCCACATGCGAACCCTACCCCTACCCCCCACGGTTTCTGAGGGGGAGGGTGGGGTTCACTTCGCTCGGGAGTTCCCGAACGAAGTGAACCCCACCCTCCCCCTCAGAAATCGTGGGGGGTAGGGGTAGGGTTCACATGTGGCCCCCTAACCAGTAAAGAACGGCCCTGTCTTTTCCATCGCCCACTCAGGGAAGGGAGGCCCACTGGCATTGGAACTGTCTGAGGCTGGCCTGGGCCACAGGTCTCTCTCCTGGGCCACGCGCACAAGGGGGGGTCGGGGGAAAGGGGAAGGCTTCTTAGAAGATGGCTGCTTCTTAGAAGGCGCGGGTCTTGCATATTTGCAGACAAGGCTCGCGCCTTCTAAGGAGCAACCTCCTCCTGAGAGGCCTTCCCCCCTTCCCCTGTCCCCTTCTGCGCACTGCCAGTGCCCCTTCCTGTCTCTTCCTGGACTCTTTCTTTTTTTTTTTTTCCCGGAAAGGGCTCGAGCCCAGGGTTCTCTTTTAGTTGGTTCCCCCCGGTTTCGACGGCTGTAGGGCCGGCGAAATTATTCTGCGATAAATTACGTGCGGGAGTAGGGCCGGCGAATTAAAAAAGTTGAGGATGTCTCGAGCGAAACGCTTGTTGTTCAGAATTTGTTGAGGATGTCTCGAGCGAAACGCTTGTTTTGTGTTATCGATTGTCCTCACGTGCCCAGGTCTTGCGGATGTCTCGAGCGAGAAGCTTGGTTTCACGCCTCCAGGTTGCCCAGGCAGAGGTCTAGCGCCAGGATTTGTTGAGGATGTCTCGAGCGAGACGCTTGGTTTCACGCGTCCTCGTCGCCCAGGCGGATGTCTAGAATGAGGAGGTGTTGAGGAAGTCTCGATCGAGATGCTTGTTTGCACGTGCCCAGGTTGCCCAGGCGGATGCCTAGCACGCGGATGTGTTGAGAATGTCTCGAGAGATACGCTTGTTTTCACGTGTCCAGGTCGCCCAGTCGGATGTCTAAAATGAAGATGTGTTGAGGATGTCTCGAGCGAGACGTTTGCTTTCACGTGTACAGGTCGCCAAGGCGAATGTCTAGAATGAGGCGGTGTTGAAAACGTCTCGAGCGAAACGCTTGTTTTCACGTGCCCAGGTCACCCAGGCGGACGTCTCACATGAAGATGTGTTGAGGATGTCTCGAGCGAACTACTTGTTTTCACGTGTCCAGTTCGCCCAGGCGGATGTCTAGCATGAGAATGTGTTGAGGATGTGTTGAGCGAAACGTTTGTTTTCACGTGTCCAGGTCGCTCAGGCGGATGTCTAGAATGAGGATTTTGACAGGATGTCTCGAGCGAAACGCTTGTCCCCAGCACGTTCCGTAGCGCGTCCCCTTGGCACGTCCCGCGGTGCGTCCCCATGGCATGTCCCCTGGCATGTCGCCTGGCGCGTCCCTTGGGACGTTCCGCGGCGCGTCCTCCTGGCATGCCCCCCTGTCAATTAGCTCTGCGGCAGATACTATGTGTTCAGGCAGCTCGAGCTTAAGATCCAGATCAGTTCGGTCAGGACTCGGATGCAAAGGAGGACTCGATCCACGACGCTATAGAGCACAACCGCGGCATGGCACATCGCAATTCAGCACGGTGCAGCACAGCACAGACTTCGGCACGGTACATCAAGATCGATACAATCAGCATTGCAATTTGGCACGTTCCTTGGCACGTTCCGTGGGGCGTCCCTTGGCGAGTCCCCCTGGCACGTTGCGTGGCGCGTCCCCTGGCACATTCCGTGGCACATCCATTGGCACGTTCCGTAGCGCGTCCTTTTGGCACGTCCTACGGTGCGACCCCATAGCACGTCCCCTGGCACGTCGCCTGGCGCGTCCCTTGGGACGTTTCGCGGCGCGTCCTCCTGGCATGTCCCCCTGTCCATTAGTTCTGGGGCAGCTACTATGTGTTCAGGCAGCTCGAGCCTAAGATCCAGATCAGTTCGGTCAGGACTCGGATGCGAAGGAAGACTCGATCCACGACGCTATAGAGCACAACCGCGGCATGGCACATCGCAATTCAGCACGGTGCAGCACAGCACAGCACTCGGCACGGTACATCAAGATCGATACAATCAGCATTGCACTTGCCCGTCACCCAATCAGGTGTCTTTGAAAACGTTGCCATGCGTTACATGTCTAGATTCCTTTCCAGGTTCGTGGGTCGACCATGTTTCGTTCTCTCTCTCTCTCTCTTTCCCTCTCTATCACATGAGCCAGGGGTCTCGAGGGATAAACAGCTGCATAAGCATGCACTTTCGGAGGTCCGCGCGGGTTTCTCGGATTCGGCGCCTGGGACCCCCTGGCAGCGCCTCCGGCGCCGCCCCTGGCGCGCTCCACGAGCCAGGGAGGGGGGTCCAGCGCCGATCCTAGAATCTAGACATCCGCGAGGACCTCCAAATTTTGCTCCACCTCCTCATCCTCGTCGCCGTCGTCGTCGACGTCGTTGTCGTCGTCCCCTCCTTGTCCCTCCTCCTCCTCCTCCTCCTCCTCTTCCTCCTCCTTCTTCCTCCAGGGTCGCTGTTACAACACTAGGGTCCTCCGAAGGAGTGTCTACCCCGCGAGCTGTCCTTGCCTCCGTGCCTCCGCCGTGCGTGAAACCTCAGGAATTCTTAGGAATCCTTGGGAACCCATCGGAATCCTCAAGAGTCCACAGGGCACCATCGGGATCCACGAGAATCCCAAAGAGTCCAGAGGAGTTCTTAGCAATCCAAGAATCCCAAGGAGTTCCTAGGAGTCCCTAGGAATCCTTTGGAGTCCATCGGGCTCCTCAGGAACCCATCGGAATTTAGACTTCCCGCGCGCGGACGTTCCAACTCACGCGGCCAACCGGAGGAGGAGGAGGAGGAGGAGGAGGAGGAGGAGGAGGAGGAGGAGGAGGAGGCGGAGGCGGAGAGGGAGAGGGAGGCGGAGGCGGAGGCGGAGAGGGAGAGGGAGGCGGAGGCGGAGGCGGAGGCGGAGGCGGATGCGGAGGCGGAGGGGAGGAGGAGGAGGAGGAGGAGGAGGAGGAGGAGGAGGAGGGGGACGGGCGGAGGAGGAGGAGGAGGAGGAGGAGGAGAAGGAGGAGGAGGAGGAGGAGGAGGAGGAGGAGGAGGAGGAGGAGGAGGAGGAGGAGGAGGAGGAGGAGGAGGAGGGAGGAGGAGGGAGGAGGAGGAGGAGGAGGAGAGGAGGAGGAGGAGGGGGGAGGGAGGGAGGGAGGGAGAGGGAGGAGGGAGGATGAGGAGGAGGAGGAGGAGGAGGGGAGGAGGAGGAGGAGGAGGAGGAGGAGGAGGAGGAGGAGGAGGGGAGGAGGAGGGAGGAGGGAGGGAGGGAGGAGGGAGGAGGAGGGGAGGAGGGAGGAGGGAGGGAGGAGGGAGGGGGAGGGAGGGGGGGGAGGAGGGAGGGAGGGAGGGAGGGAGGGAGGGAGGGAGGGATGGAGGAGGAGCAGAAGGAGCAGGAGGAGGAGCTGGAGGAGGATGAGGAGGAGGAGGAGATGAGGAGGAGGAGGAGGAGGAGGAGGGAGGAGGGGGAGGGGGAGGGGGAGGAGGAGGAGGGGAGAAGGAGGAGGGGGGGATGAGGGGGGATGAGGGGGAAGGAGTGAGGAGGGAGGAGGGAGGAGGGAGGAGGGAGGAGGAGGGAGAGGAGGAGGAGGAGGAGGAGGAGGAGGAGGAGAGGAGGAGGAGGAGGAGGGAGGAGGGAGGAGGAGGGAGGAGGGAGGAGGGAGGAGGAGGAGGAGGGAGGAGGAGGAGGTCCAGTCCCGCCGGACCGAACTCGCGCGCTCGCCTCGCCTCGCCTAAGTCTGGGAAAGACTGGCAGGGGAACGCAAACAGGTTAAGGAGCGTGGTCAGGGCAACGATCGGGGGGATAGGCTCAGGGGGGAATGCGTGGACAGCATGCATTCCCACCTGAAGGCTGAGGGCGGAATCCCCATTCCACGCCAGTGGGGATGGGGATCGATGACATGACGCTCATAACTCGCAGGATATGCTGCAATGTCTTGGGCATTTTTGAGAAGGGGCATCAACATTTGCGCCATGGGCTTGGGGTCCGAAGCCATGTGCACCGTCCGCGCGTCGCTAGAGCTCTTCTCAATTTGGGCCTGAGTTGAGACCCGAAAGCTGGCCTACCCGCCGCGGCGCTCACTCTTTAGGCCTTTGTCCCTCGGTGGCCCCGTCCTCGAGACCGAGATCTCCGACGATATGGTGTTTTCAATCCAGGCGATTTCTCTCGGTTTCGGCTTCGGGGCCCGTTGTTTCGCCCCAGGACGATTAAAAGTGGACTTGGACGAAAAACTACCCCCAGGGAAGGGGTCTGGCCCGGTTCGGGAGGAGGGCATTCGTCTCGCGAGTGCGTGGGAGAGACATTCAGATTTTGAATAAAACTTTGCGTGTACGACTAACCACGCACGACAGTAACACGGACACGGAAACTAGGTTTCGGCATTGGGCCAGTCTCCTAATGTTTTGGTTCATTCAACTTTATTCCAGGTGCCCAGACCTCACACTTGGCAGCAATTAGCGTGATTCGTGTGCAGGCGTTGCGAAGTTTTCATTTGGCGTTGTTCCACGTGCCCCCAGGTGGAGTTGCCAGCCGAACGATCACGTGGCCAAGGTGCAGGCCCGACGCTGGGCAAGTCTAACCCATCAGGGCATCTGTCTCTCCGCCTTCTGATCCTGCTGGTGCTGCTGCTCGTTGTCCCCGTGCCTCCTCTCCCTGTCCGCCTCCTGCCCCTGCGCCCTGCGCCTCTCCCCCCTCTCCGCCTGCCCTCCCCCCCTTTGACGGCTCGCCGCTCGCCCCGCTGCCGAGTCTTCCCTCCCTGCCGCTCTCTCTCCCCGTGCCCCTGTCCGGAACGGAGCTCAGGACGACAACGAGAGGAGGAGGAGGGAGGATGGAGGAGGAGGAGGAGGAGGAGGAGGAGGAGGAGGAGGAGGAGGAGGAGGAGGAGGAGGAGGACCTCATGCCTGCAAGCGGTGTGTCGGCTTATGGCGCGGCACCGCGCGATCCTGTGCCGACTTGCATGAGTTTTTGGCTTCGGCAACGGAGCTCGTTGCGCGCGTGAACTGGGCGGCCGTGCGGGTTCCGCGTGTGTGGACCTCTGGACCTCCATGAAGTTGTTGCAGGCCTGCGCAGGTACGGTCCCATCGTGTGGGCATGACGCCTCCAGGCATGCCAGAGCGACCATGAAACTGTGTGACATGCTGTCTGCCGTGGACGAAGCCAACCGGGCGGTCCGGGCAAGCGTCCTGGAATGGAGATTGCCTCGTTGTTCTGGTCTCCATTGCGGAGGCCACGAGAGTGCATGTTGTGATTTCGGTTGTTGATGGCAGTACCCCTGAGTGTGTACGCCACTCATGTCATGCATGAGATAGAGGTGAACGTTCTGTCGGCCGATCTGCCGACAAGGATTTCGAATACTTGCTCATAATGCTGAGCCTATCTGTGGGATTGGTAAATCGTGGCGTCAGGGGCAACATTTTGGGTGGATCAGCTGAAGTGGGAACGCATCGACCCTCAGTCGTCCATTCATCGCCGATACTTGCCCGACGGCCCACCCCGCCCAGGAACGTTCGGACTTGTTATCGTGTGCCTATCGCCGATCTATCGGTGATTTGTCGCCGATTCAAGCTCGACGTCCCCACCCAGAGCTGCCGCCCCCCTCACGTTGCCCCTCATGATAGCAAGGAACCCTTGAAGGCAGTAACCTACATGCGCGCCACGCAAAGTACGAAGCATAATGGTTGCTCTCTGCAGCGGCGGCCTGCAGCATTGTATCGATTGTCTTGCACGGAAGTCACAGGTACAGTCAGTTCTGACACAATTGCTAGATTGTTTCTTCTTTGCTATATCCTTACGTCCGACGTATCGAGGTAATTCAGGGGACGGTCTACAGGGTACCTCCGACTCGTGCGACATAGCAGCTTGCTTTGGGGACGTGTGTTTTGCATCACATCCGTCCGCGATGGAGTGCGCTGTTCTTGCTCTGGGTGCCGCATTTCGGTCACGACCGCTAGAGTGGTCCAGTGTGCTACCTGCAAACAATGCCGGTTGACTTCGCGGTTCAGGTACGAGTGTCGCCAAAGCGGGCACTGAAGGGTGAGAGAGATCCATTTCACTTTTTAAGGACGGAGTTTCTTTCGAGGGCATGTCTTTAGAGAAGCGGTCAGACGAGGACATATTACAATCTATGCCAGGGGCTTCAGTATCCCCTGAGCTGCTCAATTGGTGATCCGCATTTGGTCTTGTCGGCCCCTCCAACCGCCGCTCACCAAGTCCACCAATGCTTCGTCGCGATTCGTCGCTCACCAGAGAGCGACCGTCTGGAGGTTACCGTGATCTTGTTCTTGCCAGCCACCTACGTGGTTTGCTCCCTGTATAGTCTGCGGCTGCTCACCATCAACAGTGGGGACGGGGAGGCTGGGTTCGGAGCTGCTGCGAGCATGTGGATGATCTTGAGGTAAGAGGGGCAACGAGGGATGACATATGTATGTAGGATGTGGGAGGAAGGTGGCTGAGAAAAGATGTGGATAGTGGACATGAACTCAGGGCGGATCAGGATGGGAGTGAGCTGGAGGGACAGGAGAGGGGAGGCACAGCGGCCACCGTGACCCATACGATCTTCCTCGAAGACCTTGGCATGTCGCGCGGGCCATCTAGATTCAAGATGCATCCTTCGAGTAACAGGCAACCTATTAGGCAGGCTGCAGGCAAAGGCAGGCCAGCCATGACTTGGCCGTTGCCCTCGAGATGCGGCCACAACCTGATCTGACCCTGTTCCGTCATCTGTCTTTGCTGGAGGGCTTGATTTTTTAAGTCTGGTGCCCCTATCTCCCTGCCCCTCTTGAGACCGTCTTGGACGTCCCTTGGGTTTGCTTAGGGGCCCTGGGACCTGTCTTGGAGCGATCTTTTGGGCCTGCCGGCCGCTGGGGCGTTCGAGAGGGCCCAAGCGGCTTTGTAGAGGGCCTCAGCATGGGTCCCTGGGGCCATCTTGGAGCGTGTTGGAGATCGAGGCCTGCAATCACGCTCCCGAGGCCTCCAGAAAGATCACTCTTGGTTTGGCCTCAGGGAATGCTCGGTCGCGCCCAGAAGCAGCCAGGAATCCTGTGAATCCAGGACCTGACTTGCCTTCAAGAGTAGATGAAATATCGAAGACGCCTACGGCGAATCGCCGCCGACCCCTGCCCCTTTGGAAGCCACTATGTGGCCGACAGCTGGGCTAGAGCTTGGCTAAGCTATCGGGCCAGTTGTTTCCCGAGTCGGTTTGAAAAGCCTTCGGGGAACGCGTGGGGGAGCAATAGGAGGAGAATCAGGAGAGGAAGGAGGATGATGATTAGGAGGAGGATGAGGATGAGGATGAGGATGAGGATGAGGATGAGGATGATGCGGAAGGAAGAGGAGTAGGAGGAGACTTCTTGGGAACTGTCTTGCGAGGCCTCTCGAGAGCCCTTGGCGGAGCCTCCTGGGAGCCTTTTGGATGCCTCTTGAGAGCCTCCCTCGGCCTCTTGGGGGTTTCTTCGGGGCCTCTTGGGGCTTCTCGGGGGCCTCTTTCGCAGTCTTAGGGCTTTCCCGACCCGTCTGACACTGGAACCGTCTTGGGGCTCTCTTGGGGCTATCAGGGCCGTCTTGGAGAGTATCTTGGACGTCTTGGAGGTCGCCGTCTTGAGGGCCGATCGGGTCGTCATGCGGCCATCTTGGAGGCCTCTTGGGCGATTTTTGGGCGACCTTGGGAGCCTCTTGGGCCGTCTTGGGCCGTCGGAAGGCCGACAAGGCGCAAATGCCAACATCTTTCGAAACCTAAGGATCATCAATTATTGTAGTGGCCTCCGGCCAGTGCCGCCGATCCGGGACGCTTCCGTTGCTGCCGGAAGCGCGCGATGGCGGTCATGACCGGCGACGCCGGCGAGTGGTGAGGATGATGGTGCGGATTGGGAATGGAGGCAACGGAGCAGAATGAAGAGGACGAGGATCATGATGAGGTGGAGGGGGGCTGGGGGGAGGGGCAGGAGTAGCACGATGCTGAAGAAGAGGAGGAGCAGGAGGAAGCGGGAAGTGGAAGAGGGGGAGGCGGAGGAGGAGCATGACGAGGATGAGGAGATTTTCGGTGGTTGTTGGAAATGTTCGGCGGTTGTGGGGAAGCCTCTTTGGGACCAGGTACTGGCCTTCTCCGGGTTGACACCTAGCCGATTTGGCGTTCTCTGAAAAGCTTTGTTCTAGAGCTCTCTGCGTCACAGTTCTTTGTTGGGCCTTGTGCGTCACCGGTCTACTAGAACTATTGTTAAGCATTTACCGGAGATCTTAGCGCGCCTTTGGCCCGATGGGCCGGCGAATTTGGCCGTTGTGGGCCCCAGGAAAACCCGAGAAGCGAATGTGTGGAACATGTACGTTTTTACTTCTGGAACGGGGCGGTTTTTGCTTGTGGAGGCCTTTTCGGAGCGTGCCGTGGCCGCGTTTTCAATCGTCTTGGACGCACCCATAGGGCCGTCTGGCGGCGATCTTGGGGGGTTCGGACCGAATCGTCCCCCGCGTGGGCCGTCCGGACAGCCTATGTGGGCCCTCTTGCCCAGTTGTGGAGTCCTTGGGGCCGTCCCGCGGCTTTCCTAAGCCGTTGCCATGGTTTCTGGGGCGTTCATGGATCGCCTGGGCGCCGTCTTGGAGCTTTTCTGGGAGCCTCTTGGGCTGGCCCGAGTCGATCTTGGATGCTTCTTGGACCGTTATGCATGCACCGCGTGGAAGCCGAATGGGCGAATGTGGTGAAAATGTGCGCCTTTCGGAGGGAATGGGGCGATTTTTGCGTCTGGTGGGCCTCTGGGGCGCCTCGTAATGTTGTTTCAAACGTCTTGGGGACTCATGGGGCCGCGTGGAGGCACTCTTCGGCGTGCTGGGGCGATCTTCGTCGATCCGTAGCTCTCTTGGACCGTTCCGGGAACTTCTGGAACCTTTCTGCCGTGTTTGGGGCCTCCTGCGGCTCCGAGTGTGCGGGTGATGGATTCCCCCCCCCCCTTCTCCCAGACCAGCCGGGCCAGACCGCCAGAGGAGGGGTTTGGGGAGGGGGAAACATCTCGCGCGCCGTGGCCCCGAGGGGTCGGCGGATTCTCAAGCGGGCGGCGGACGTGCACCGCGTGGCTCGGATTCAGTCAACCGGTTTAACCCCATCGGCGTTGCGCGGGGCGGCGGTAATGGGAGTGGCCGAGCATGTCCTGCGACCCGTGCGCGCGCTAACGGGAGCTCTTGCAAGGGCGAAGACGGCGGCGTCTCTAACGGCAGCTCTGACGCAACGGAATCCGCGATGCGATCCACTGTTCAAGACCACGATGGAGTTGCCCAATATGTATGCTTGCATGATATGGGATGGTCGACTACTTCTGACCAGGGTGCAGCAGGCCTGGAACGTCATGCAGCTGAGAATGCAACGCGGTGAGAGCTGGGCCAAGGTCACTGGGCCGATCTCGGCTGTGCGGATGACACTGCGACGGGTGGATTGGACTATGGTGTCATCGCACCAGATCGAGACGGACGAAGGGGAGGAACTTTCGTATGTGAGTGTGGCGCCTCGAAACTTCCGGGACATGCCTGAAGCGGGAGTTCAGCGATGGCAGACGCGGCGATTTGAGCAGCGCTTCTCTGACAGAGCAGATGATGGACACATTTGGCACCGCGGACTCAACGCCGCCGAGCTGGGGGCCCTGCAGTGCCTATGGCCAGGCGCAACGTGGACCAGAGCGCGACGCCATCAGCAAGGCTTCTG